GGCTGCTGCTTTGTGTTTTCTTGCAGCGCAAGACTTTTCGGGTTTAGGGTTTAGGGTTTAGGGTTCAGGGTTCAGGGTTTAGGGTTAGGGCTTAGTGTAGGGTTTGGGATTTCGAGCTTAGGGTTTAGGGATTAGAGTACGAGGTTTAGGGTGTATATATAGGGCTTTCTTAGGAGGCGTGGGAATTGCTTGTTTTTGTTCATGATTGCTGCTGGAGAACTAAGTCTTCCAAGGTTTTCGGTGACCTTGGCTTAAGCGGGGTAAGAGATGGTGTATGGGGTTCGGGTTTCTGTGTCAGCGTTAGGCCTGGTTAGGCTCCGTCGGCTTGGGGATGGCTCCACGTCCCTCAGGCCTTGAACCCTAAACCCGAAACGAATTAAGCCCTAAACCCTCAAGCCCTCAGACCCTAAAACGCTGAAACCTCCCCAACTCCCACGCCAAGCCCTACACCCTTAACCCTAAAACCAAAAAACCCTAGACCCTAAACCCTAAACCCTAAACCCTGAACCCTAAACCCCCTCAACCTCTAAGCCCTATGACCCCCAGCCCCCACCTCCAGACTCCAAAGAAGAGATCTGGGAGTGGGAGTGGGGGGCGGGAGATCTGGCAGCCTCAATTCGGCGGCACGTGCTGCGCCTCAGGCCAGTGGGCTTCCTGTTTAGAGGGTTTAGGGTTTAGGGTTTAGGGTTTAGGCTATAGGGTTTAGGGGTTAGTGTTTAGGCCTTAGGCTACAGGGTTTTAGGCTACAGGGTTTAGGGTTTAGGCTTTCAGGACCATAGGAGGCACATGGTTCATGGGCAGCGCATACCTGGGCCCTGTGTATGGTAAGTGCAGATATGAGGGTTTCGCAAAAGACGCTTGCAAATTCGCTGTTTTTTTGCAGTCAGAGTCCTTATCGTCTAGTGGTTAGGACGTCGCGTTGGCCGCGACAACCCAGGTTCGACTGCTAGTGGGGACATTTCAAGCAGGCAAGGTGTTTCTGTTGCTTCGGGGCCAATTGTTTAGGTGGTGTCTCCGTTGCTTCGTTTCTTCGGGGTGATTGTTTAGGTGGTGTCTCCGTTGCTTCGGGGTGATTGTTTAGGTGGTGTTTCTGCTGCTTCGTGGTGATTGTTTCTGTTGCTTCGGGGTGATTGTTTAGGTGGTGTTTCTGTTGCTCCGGGGTGATTGTTTAGGTGGTGTTTGTCCTTTAAAAGGATTTTTCGTATTTTGGGGTAAAGGGGTTACACCTATTTTCGGAAATCCCCATTGCACTGGACATAAACCTTGTGTTGTTCCAGTCCTCCCTTATCTACTCAGAAGTACCCGATGAACCTTTATGGTCTCATATCGCGTTCTTGGAGGATTATGGGGCCCGCCGTTCCTGAACAACCCTCAAACCCTAAACCCTAAACCCGAAACCCTAAAGCCTAAACCCTAACCCTAGGAAAATCTGAAACGTCCTGTTTGTGGCTTCGGGTATCGGGGCCTTCGCAGCCTTTGGTCGCAGCAGATGCTGGCAAGCTTGGCTTTCGATATTTGGCAGCGTAGAGTTTATGATTTTGAGTTTACCTCACAGTGTTTAGGGTTTAGGTGTTAGGGTTTAGGAACCCTAAACCCACTGACTGCCCCGTTTGGGTTTAGGGTTTAGGATGAAACCCATGGGGTTTAGGGCGCTAGGGTTTAGTGTTTGGGCCCAACTTCGAGGCAAGGCATAGCTTCAGACCTGCATCCTAGCGTAGATGATGTGAGTTTGAACCAAATACAGAGAGGATCTCAGACCACAGCTTACACCTACATCAGCGATACCAAGACAGTTCAGGCCTAATTTGTACATGCTAAGCAGGATGCAAACCCTAAACCCTAAACCCTAAACCCTAAACCCTAGACCCTAGACCCTAAACCCTAAACCCTGCATTTTGTTAAGATTGAATCGGCGAAAGGTAATCCATGGCCTCTGTCTAGGGCTTAGCGTTTCGGGTTCAGGGTTTAGGGTTCTTGGGCACTGTGCACATCTTGTATAAAAGACAATTTCCGTGTTCAGACAGAGGGCACCACATACATGCATGGTTGAGTCGACTCCAAGCTCAAATCGGATTTCTGGGCTTTGGAGTACTATACTTTAATACTTTTTTGTTTTGGGTTCCCATTAAAGATACCTATACCTAAAAAATATGTACTTTTCTTCTGGGTCTACTCCAGAGGTAGGATTTAGGGCAAGCTATGAATCCTCTCTATATCCCTCAGCAATAAGGAGTAGATCATAGCAGAGCCTCCCAAGGACCCATCATTCGGAGTCAGCTTGAATCCAAACAAGAATGGGAGCCCGACCCTAAACCCCAAGCCCTAAACCCGAAGCCCGAAACCCGAAACCCGAAACCCGAAACCCTAAACCCTAAACCCTAAACCCTAAACCCTAACAGCCCTTGAAGATTGCGAAACTTTCTGGGCCGAAGCTCGTCCCACTCGATTTGCAACGTTGTCAGGCTTGCCAAATTCGGTGCACATTCCTGCACGGGGGGAC